GGGGGGGGGGGGTGCATGATGTGTGGGTGGGGCACGCTGGGGGCCAATCAAAGCCTGAGAAAATTATGTCAACCTTTGTTGAGTTTGTCCATTCAGCACTATAGAAGTGCAGTGAATTGAGATTGGCGGAGAGGTCATTTTCTCTGCGTGTGAGAAAAAAGAGAAAGAAAGAAAGAAAGGCGAGCGAGAAGGGGAAAGCATTGTGGTCATGCTAATGGTGCTGAGCGGAGATAGCGCCATAAAGATGTCATGAAATTTAATTGCCAAAACATCAGCGCGGCCATTGTTCGGAAACCCACGGCAGGACCTTTAACTGGCTACGCAGGAAGACTCTGATGAACTTTCGGTGGTGAAATAATGTTGAATGCTTCTGTATGAGCCCCATCTCATGAAACTACTCCCCTCTTCAACACATATAACCCACAAATAGCATTTCTTGCCCTGCAGCACCCCGCTAAGCTCATAACGTCAGCAGACGGTGGTTATTGAGCCCTGCTTCTGGCTGACGTTGAACGACACTTGAATAGGAAACTATCACGGAGGGAATCCATACAATTACGCACAATATGTAATCCATCTCTGTCTGGCACATACGCAAAGATACACACTGCAAAGCTGAATCTCACGGAGTAAGGCCATGTTAAATAATTTCAGAAGGTTATATTGTTATTACTATAATTTTTACATGAGCTTGAAGCACATTTCTTCTTCAAATAAGGTAATTAATGTTTTATTATTGTAATATCCAATTGTTTTCTACAAGTTTTCACCCATAAACACATGGAAAACAGGACGCATTCATTCATGACGCAGTAAGGTTGTCCCCTTGAAATTCAGTCAAGAGCAATTCTTTCCTCAGAATTTCTGATCTGTGCAGAAATACCACACACTCTCTCTCACACACACACACACACACACACTCTCTCACACACACACACACTCTCTCTCACACACACACACACACACACACTCTCTCACACACACACACACACACACGCGCACGCACACGCACACACATATTGATTGCAGTAAGTCAATATCAGATAAGACTAACATTACTAATTAGTCAATGTTTATACTTTGTGAGCCGGTTTTGAGCTGCTGTTTACATGTAAAGATGTCGATAGTCATGAGAACGGCATTCTGGGTGAATTTCCAACTGTGACGTTACTACAAATGTGCAACAAACATAATAATAAAAAGTTTGTGTTTTTATTAACTTTTAATATTGTGTGCATGTCACCACCAGTTCACCGTTTTTAACATCAGGACATCATAGATTTTGCTTCAATCAAGCAAAAATTCAGGACCATTTTAAAAATAACTTTAAATCAATTATACACCCATGTATGTTAAAAAATATTTATATATTAAAAGGAAGCAATATGGTACAATTGTGGATTGTGATATAGTCATTTACGATATAGCACAACATAAAGTGCTTTATTTCTTTATAAAACAAACAACATTGCCATATTATTGAAATATTAGCACAATTTATATTAAAACAATATTTATTAGATCGCTAGAAGATCTAGTGAACAAGAGTTTCAACATCATAAATACAGAGTTAGGATGTATTGGCAGTAGCAATAGTCTCGGTACTTGCTCTGCAGCAGCAGCAGCCAAGACCAAATACATTAATATTGTCATGTACATTACCATTCCAATCCCTCCGAGAGTCGTCATGACAGAACTGTGTGTATTGTATATTTTAGCATGACTGGAACAGTGTACTGACCAATCAGAAGAAAACAAATGACGTAAAGTAGAAAACAGTCCGAGTAATCCAGTATCTGCAGTCAAAGCATGGTAAAAGGAAACGGCAGATTTTAGTCCACACAACCGTCTTAAATCCACTTATGAAACGAGCATCTCCAGATATCTCTGAGCAATCCATGATGTGGAGAAATCAGCGGTGTCACACTCATCCACACGTCTCTTCAGACACTGCCTGGAAAAACAAGCAAAAACATGCTCAGACTCGCTTCATACAAGTACATTTGCAGCTTGAAGAGTCTGAGATTAATGAAACAAACAAAAAGAGAGAGATCAAATGTAAAACTGAGTTCAAACAATGAGAACTTTTTATATTCATTTGGCAGACACAGTTTTGACTGCACCAATCAGTATGTATCTGTGGGAATGAAAACATCTCCTCCATGTTGTTAGTGCTGTACTTTACCAGTTCACATACAGAAACGGCATATTCAAACAGCATAAATCTAGACATCAAACCCGGTTTACTTAAAACAGAGTCAATGGGACAGCACTAATATATATATATATATATATATAAATACATATACTGGCATTCAAAAGTTTGGGATCAGGAAGATTTTTAATGTTTCTGAAATAAGTCTCTTCTGCTCACCAAGGCTGCATTTATTTGATCAAAAATACAGAAAAAACAGTAATATTGTGAAATATTATTACAATTTAAAATAATGGTTTTCTATGTGAATCTCTGTTAAACTGTAATTTATTTCTGTGATGCGCAGCTGTATTTTCAGCATCATTACTCCAGTCTTCAGTGTCACATGATCTTCAGAAATCATTCTAATATGCTGATTTATTATCAATGTTGGAAACTGTTGTGCTGCTTCATATTTTTTTGGAACCTGTGATACTTTTTTCAGGATTCTTTGATGAATAAAAAGTGAAAAAGAACAGCATTTATTTAAAATGGAAACCTTTTGTAACAATATAAGTCTTAACTGTCACTTTTTTATCAATTTAACACATCTTTTCTGAATAAAAGTATTAATTTCTTTCAGAAATAGAAAGAAAAAAAATCTGCTGACCCCGAACTTTTGAACGGCAGTGTAAATGGTTAGATTTCTATATTGAATAAACGTTGTTCTTTTTCACTTTTTATTCATCAAAGAATCCTGAAAATTCCAGTTTTTTCTGTATTTTTGATCAAATAAATGCAGCCTTGGCGAGCAGAAGAAACTTCTTTCAGAAACATGAAAAATCTTCCTGATCCCAAACTTTTGAACGGCAGTGTGTATATAGAGCAGGACTTGATTTTATTCCTATGGAATCAATTGGAAAGTCAAAAGTCTCTATACAGATGGTGTTTGAAGGGGTTAAAGACAAGAGGGCTTTGGTGACAACAGCCAAAACACAACAAATCAGAGAAAGGGCTAGTTATTATATTTTGTTTGTACGATTATGAAGACAGACATTTAAATAAATACATCTGCCTAGAGCTGTTTTACACTGTCGACTACAGAGGCTCCAGATAAAGCAGGTTTACACACAGCTGATCACGTGTGAATGTGGACTGGCAGAAGATGTACAGCGGTTCAGGGCACACTCACACTCAGACACACTCACACTCACACTCACACTCACACGCTCACACACACTCACACACACACAGAGCTGGGCAATCACAGCATATCCGCTCACCATCTGACATCTGTGTGTCTCACAGCGGTGGCTTACCTTACGTAAATCAATGAGATCAACGTGAACGCTCTGTGTTACATGTGCATGTCGAACATGTCGAACCTCACCGACTGACAAGTCTGGCTCACGTTTCATTCTGAGAAATCAGAAGAAAATCTAACCTGTTTTTAGGTTCGTCAGGCTGGAGGAATGCTGACATTATTTTCATGCATAATAGCACGACGCACATATCTTTCTTTTCTTTTCTATCAGATTCACCTGATTTGACCTGACCGGCAATTCTGATTTCCCAGCTCTTCATTTGGAGGCACATTTAATTCTGTTGCGTACGCTATATTAAAACACTCATCTGGTCTAGTCTGGACACGAAAGCTTCCCGTTTAACTGAATCAAGTCACTCTCTGTGTTGTTGCACAACAGCTCAAGTTCACGGTTTCCCACACATCTGTAGTATGAGGATCATATGCTGCATTATTAGAGTTCTGCTCTTCAGAAACAACCATACACAGCCTGGCAGTGTCAGAACTTGCAGTCTCGTAATTCCACTGCTTATGTTTCTGTAAAATACTGGGATGTTTTGATTCGATCGTTCCTGAAGACTGTATGAACTTTTCTCTCTCTCTTCTCTCAGCCCTGAGGTCCATTCATACTGCGCTGCATTTACAGTTGATTTGCTCACAACGTGGAGGGTTGAAAACGTCCGAAAGTTTAGCGTAGAAAAGAGACACTGCAGCATTGCTCTGGGAGTGACTCTTTTATTCCATACATGCACTGAATGATCATTTCGGAGATTGACTTTTAGGTTTGTTTCTCCTATAACTCCCATAACCACACTGTCACAATCAGGTGATTATATTCAAAACCTGTAATACTCCACACACACACACACACACACACACACACACACGTACTCTAGAGGCCTAAAACATTCATCGTAGCTTCTGTTTGTGCATGTGTGTGTGTAAAAGAGTGAGTGTGTGTCCACATGAGAGGCTTCTGTCTGGATTTAAAGGGGTTCCACTCACACACACACACTCACACACACACACTCTCTCTCTCACACACACACACACACACACACACTCATACAGTCACTCGACTGCTGTACAAGATGAAGTTAAAGAAGCACATCTGCTGTACATATATAAACTCCCACAGACCCAGAGCTTCTCCACCCTGCTAAACATCAACACACTCGGAGAACAGGGGCATATGGACGAGGGCCCGCTCCACAAAGGGTATGATTTCAATGACTTTATATAATTTCATTCTGATGGTCCAATAGTTCAATATAAGGCTCTTGTGAAGAGAGATGTATAAACAAAAAGATGCAGTGCAAAGAATCAAATCCAGCCGCTGTGTTCCACTGCTCGTGCGTCTCTCCGGTCAAAGCCGTTCTGAGAGAAAGCTCAGTTAATGCTAACATGAAGAACACATGCTCAAACACATGGTGTACACACTAGAGTGTAAATCAGATGTGATCTCCACACACACGCCTGCTTCACACGAACCACATTAAACTCAAACTAGACCTGCTAACTATATGCTAAATTGGTTGCAGCACAGCTTAAGAAAATGTCTTCTTCCAAATGAAAATACATGTTTAAACCTTCAAATGCCAAAATACATTAAAACATCTCTTCAAGGGGCCAGGAAAAAAATCTATTTCTAGTCTTAAAATACATGCAAAATGTATTTTTAACAAAATATAATTTAGATAAAATAAATAGATATTTACATTGAAAAAAAAAAAAACTTAAATTGAGATGTATACATCATCTGAAAGCTGAATAAATAAGCTTTCCATTGATGTATGGTTTGTTAGGATAGGACAATATTTGGTCGAGATACAACTATTTGAAAATCTGGAATCTGAGGGTGCAAAAAAATCTAAATATTGAGAAAATCATCTTTAAAGTTGTTCAAATTAAGTTCTTAGCAATGCATATTACTAATCAAAAATTAAGTTTTGATATATTTACGGTAGGAAATTTACAAACTATCTTCATGGAACATGATCTTTACTTAATATCCTAATGATTTTTGGCATAAAAGAAAAATTTATAATTTTGACCCATACAATGTATTGTTGGCTATTGCTACAAATATACCCCAGCGACTTAAGTGCTCCAGGGACACATATTTGAACATCTATATTAGCTTTATATTTTTGTATATTTATAAATATTTAAAACAAAATTCTGAAATTATATTATTATATAAATATAAATATATTTGTTGTATGGGTCAGAACACCTATCATCGTTAGTGGCAACTTTTGAATGGACAAGCAAGCGCACAGAAATCTAGTGAAATAATCTAATAGCAGTTTTAATTCTGAAATGCAGCCATAAGCAACTGATTATTCAGATTTTGTGAGTAAACAGGATGTGTTTTCCCGCCTTATCAGATGTGTGGTTCTGTCCCGGAGCACAAGCTGAGAATGTGAACGCTTTGGATTTCGTCAGACTTTAATAAAACTACATGATTTCATCTGGCATCACGTGACACGTTTCCTGATTTCCGGTGCTCAACTGGAAGTGTGTGAGTGTGTGTGTGTGTGTGCGAGTGTGTGTGTGTGTGTGTGTGTGCGTGTGAGTGTGAGCGTGTGCGTGTGTGTGTCAGTGACTCAGTCCTGATTTGATCTTTAGTGGCGGTGGATGCTCAAAATCAGCTCCTCTCCTGCAGGCCCGGTTGGACTCGATGTGCAGGAGGACATGCTGGTGGAAGCGTGCTAATCACACACAGACACTGGAAACAGAGCCACAGACCTGCGGGCGACTTCATTAAACTCACTCGGATTAACAACCAATAGAGAGACTCCGTCAGAGCCTGTGGCTCTAACATGATAACATCAGCTTGATCCAAATCACATACAATTTACTTGCTAATCTAAGAAGTAACTCAAAGTCCATTTTTTTACTTTCAGTTAGGAGTGGGCAAATATATCACAATGTTTTTCAGGAAAATCACGATTCTTTGTCATGTTGGTTTGACTATTTTGCAAGCTGTCTGAGCTGTACAGCCAAACTAATTTCCCTATTTTACAAACAAAGCCTTACAAGGTAACAACATGTAAAGAATGGCAGACATTTAGGCCAAAGGCGGCAAAGATACAAATCTTTGTCATTATTTTATCTTTGTTATTAGAAAATAAGAACAATTATTTAATAATTCTTATTAAAGCGACTGTAGTAAAGTTTTTCAGTCAAGAGCAGTGAGTGATTTTTTTCTGTGTTTTGTTGTTTTATTAACATTAAAGGGACAGTTCAGCCAAAAATGAACATTCTGCCATCATTTACTCACTCTCAAGTTGTTTTAAACCTGAATGAGTTTCTTTCTTCTGTTGAACATAAAAAGTTATTTTGAAGAATGTGGGAACCAAACAGCTGCTTTTCCCCACTGACTTCCATAGTGTATTTTTTTTTTTCCAACAAGGACAATGTCAATGGGTATCAGCAACTGTTTGGTTCTTCAAAATATCTTCTTTTGTGTTCAGCACAAGAA